TTCTATGTTTTAATCATACTCATTGTAACCCAAATTTAAATAAATAATCTCAAATTAATGTACTCCAACTCAATCAACCCATTACAGAAAATGAATATCTGTAAAGTTCCTTACAACTAGATAATTCTCATATTTCTGAAACAGAAAATGAATATTTGTAAAGTTCCATACAACTAGATAATTCTCATATTTCTGAAAAAAAAGGTACAGGATATTTTCCAAGAATCAAAACTAAATTCTTCGTTAGAGAGTTGAATTTTAACTAGATATTTAACTTAATATGACTGCTTCTGTCTTAGTTGGGGTAGGTAGAGGTCATCTGGATGAAAATGTCCATTTCTTTTTATGTAATTTTTAGCCCTTGGGGAAGCCCTATTTTACTGAATCGAGCTGCAACCGTACTGATGAAGCGAAATACCTTTCTAAAAGGTCAATGGAAGGCTACGACTGAAAGGAATCAGGGGTTTCCTTTCTGAATTGATGGATTTACTTCATTACCGTCCCCTTATAGCTATATGTAAAGTCATGTAAAATAATGGATTAGGTAGTGATTGGTGTGATAACTGTTTCAACATGTGTATTATGGATGGCAGCTGCGGAATGAAGACATTTATTGTGTGACGCAGGCCCTGCGCAGAGAAGCTAATAGCCAGAAGAGATACCCATTTGCTTTCCAGTAGGTTTCCTTTATTAATTACCCAGATATGCCTGTGTTGAGAGAATGGGTATACCCTTGTTCTAGGATTTTGGAATGCAACGAAATGACCATTCTCCTAAGAAAAGATGAAGACCTCGTTGTACGCCGAGGGAACTGGTTGTACAGGCAAAATCAGGGGCAATGTCCTAGCTGAAGATGAGTGCTCATCAAATTCAAGTCCAACATTCACAACTGCATTAATAAACTTTTAAGCAGAGGCCTCATCAATTTCTTAGCTAACTGAAGAAAAGAAAAAAAAAAACTTCTACTGATAATATTTGCCTTAGAAGAATCATCCGTAGTTTGGCAAAGAGATGACTTGAAATGCTATGAACAATTGGAACTGCAACTGCTTCAGCCATACCAGGCAGAAATGCCAATGATATTGCCCAGCCCAGAAACTAATTACAAAACCTGCAAGTCAGAAAATGGCAGAAGTTACTCGCGCCAGATGCCCATATATCAAACATCTCTTTAGCCAAGTGTAGCAAGTATTTATGTAGGAAAG